CATTAAAACATCAAACGGAAGTGCCTTGAGTCAGGCCAATTTGCTAATCATCACAAAGTTCTCCTCTGCACATCATGGGTCTTTGACAACATGTAACCTACAATGACAATGAAGGGAAAAATGTGTTTGTAATGACAATAAAGATGGAAGCTATGAAAATCATCAGGAGCGTCTGAATTCAAAACAATGAATATAAATCATGTCATTTGCATAGAAATGTGGCATTGCTACTGATATTGGTTAAAATTCAGAAGTAGATGAATAATGAACACAATGCCACTTTTTAAATTATCAAATAAAAACCTAATGACTTTTATCTTTCAGAAAAAATCTCTCGGAGTCCTTAATAAGAGAAGAAGAACTGAAAATAAACTGTGTACTGAAGACTTTCAGTCACAGTCTTTTTTTCTTTTTTTTTTAATGTCAAGAAATGACTACCTAATCAGTATCTGTGATAATGATCTGTAATCTTACCAGCGTGAGATTGATGATAAATAGCAAGTACTGATTTTTTAATAACATGAAGCACAGATACGCAACACATTTTCAGGTAGGAGTCATCCAGTCCTCCTTAATGGAAAATCGTTACAGTCCAGCTATTGTAATATAATTCAAATAAAATCTTTTTAAGGTGTCATTTTAATGCAAATAACTTAGCAGCAAACTTTTAAACTATTGGTGCCCAAAGCTTATTTTTATCTAAGTCTCAGATAGTAAGAATGTTTGAAATAATTGAGTTCTTGTCTAATTACATGAAGACTAATTTAGAACCTCATTTATTTGGAGAGTCTCTGGCATAGCAGATCCATTTAAAATGACACACAAGAGCAGGTAATTAAAAATTAAAGTTGAAATCAAGATGAAAAAGGCAAGACTGAAGCTGGCTTAGACTGCTCTGATTAGCTGTAGAGGGGCAGTGAAATTTGACAGGGGCTTGATAGACTGTCAAAGATGCAAAGAAAGAGGCAGGATGATGGAATGCAGCTCCCAGGGGCACCAAAGCTTTTTTGAGTCTTTCCAGTATATGTCCACTTGCAAAGTTGGCTACATGCAACTAGGAGAGATCATCTGGCTGAGTATGGAAGAGAGCTGGAGATTACCAGTCACAGAAAACCTTCCCTCATGTCCGTTGTCCCAGAAGGGAATGCCAGGCTCCTGGGTAATGAGGAAAAGGCACATTACCCACATAAGCAAGACCACTAGACACGGGTGCCCCTTGTGCATAGCAAGCTCTTTTGTATACAACACTTTTGGAATGGCTTGAGCAATGACACACAGACACACAATCAAAATGGTCTTTGATCATGCATTTTAGTTTGCAAATGCCTTTTACATACACAACAGCCCTTGATTCTCACACTAGCCCCATTTTACAAGTGGTGAAATTGAGGTCCTGAAAAGTTACGTAACAAACCTAAAGTACTAGGACAAGAAATCAAAACGTTTGACTCCAAATCCCAAAACACATCATCTCCTCATGTAGTGACACTCTTTTTTTATTCGCTCTTAGTGGATTTTTTTCTCTTTCCTCCCTCTTCATTTTCCTCTTACATATTTTCCTCCCTCTTCATTTTCCTCTTACCTATTTTCCTCCCTCTTCATTTTCCTTTTACCTATTTTCCTCCCTTCCTTTTCCATTTCCTTGCCCATTTCCTGATTCTTGTCTGTGCCATAACTCTGCCAGCAACTCAGAGAGCACAGCTCAGCTGAGCAGACCATCTCAGATCTGAAGAGTTTGCTGATGGACCCTGAAAGGCAGAACGCGGTTCTGTTTCTACTGCAGCAAAAGCATTACCCTCTGAGAACGAGGTGAGGGCACACAGATGTACTTGTAGGGTACAGTTCAACTATGTTCATGCCAGAAAACAATAATCTGATAGATTCTTAAGTTCCCTTGGAGGGTTTGATCTATAAAAGGGCCCAAATGGAGTCTTCCATAGATACTCATGCCCCTGCTCTGAGCCCCGGAAAGCAAATTTTACCCCTGCCCCAGAAAGGCACCCAGGCTGTGTATGGGAGGGCCACTCATAACACTTCACTAAATCTGGATTCTTCTCTTTCAGATGATAAATATATACCATCTGAGCCATCAATCAAATGTCTAGGTCTCTATTTCTCTCCCAAGGACCAAGTGAACAAGTGAGCTCCCAAATGGAAGTGAAAACTAGTTACAGCAGTTTTTCTCTAAATATGGCCCCTTACCAGAATCATTAGCATCACTTGAGAACCTGTCAAAATGCAAATTCTTGGGTCTCAATCCAAATCTAATGAACTAGAGTCTCTGGGACTAGGACCCAGCAAGCTGTTCTGATAGTCTCTCTAGATTATTCGGATGCCAACTGAAGTGTGGGAACCCTGGTCTAAATACAGTTCAGTGGAAAAGCCCTTGACTAGGAGCCAGGACTCTTGGGACTTAGTCCCAGTGAGGCCCCTCACTCACACGTGGGCTAGGGGAAATCGTGTCACCTCTCTAGCCCCGTTTCCTCCCCCATCAAATGAAGAAGTCTTATGTGGGGTGCCACGCACTCTTCTTTTGTACACATCCTGTGAGTCTTCAGGAAGGATGACACCAGGCATCAGCAAAGCACAGCTCCAGCTCAACATCACCAATATTACTTGCTCTTATTCCACAATAATCTCTTGCTTCCTTCAAGTCTTTTTATTTATTTTTTTTTTTTTTGAGACGGAGTCTCGCTCTGTCACCCAGGCTGGAGTGCAGTGGCCGGATCTCAGCTCACTGCAAGCTCCACCTCCTGGGTTTACGCCATTCTCCTGCCTCAGCCTCCCGAGTAGCTGGGATTACAGGCGCCCGCCACCTCGCCCAGCTAGTTTTTTGTATTTTTTTAGTAGAGACGGAGTTTCACCGTGTTAGCCAGGATGGTCTCGATCTCCTGACCTCGTGATCCGCCCGTCTCAGCCTCCCAAAGTGCTGGGATTACAGGCTTGAGCCACTGCGCCCGGTCTCTTCCTTCAAGTCTTAAAGCTTATTCTCCAAGAATCTCTAGTGAAATTATAGTTGAACCCGAACCTGTGGGAAGATGCCTCAACTATCACCTATATCAGCTAAGCTAGAACAAAGAACAAGTATTTCTTTTCTTTTCTTTATTTTTTATTTTTATTATTTTTTTTTTGAGGCAGAGTTTGGCTCTAGTTGACCAGGCTGGAGTGCAATGGCATGATCTCGGCTCACTGCAACCTCCGCCTCTAGGGTTCAAGAGAGTCTCCTGCCTCAGCCTCCCGAGTAGCTGGGATTACAGGCATGCGCTACCACGCCCGGCAATTTTGTACTTTTAGTAGAGACGGGGTTTCTCCATGTTGGTCAGGCTGGTCTCGAACTCCTGACCTCAGGTCATCCACCCACCTTGGCCTCCCAAAGTGCTGGGATTACAGGTGTGAGCCACCACCCCTGGCCAGAACAAGTATTTTTTGAAGGGACCAAGATCCAGAAATGAAAGGTGAGGCTGGTCCCAATGGAGCAAGTCAACCGAGACCAACTTCCTCCAGTTCTCAGTTTCATGGGAGTTTAGCCTCATCTCTGTTAGATTTCAGATTGAAATGTAGATTTTTCTGGCCAGTTATAAGGCTTATTGCTATCCTCCTCTCTCACTGCATTAAATAGAATATGGATTTAGAGACATGGTTATATATAAAAGGAAGCTAAACTCCCAATAGAGGTTGATTTATCAAGAATGTGGTTGTCATTCTGGGTCATTTGGACCGATGCATTCTTATAAACACTCAGTAAAAGTCAACCAGAAGAGAGTCCTCTAGGAGACTGTCCTTTCACTGTCTTTAACAGAAACATCCACTTCAGCCCGTCAGCCACCACATAGCCACGGGATCACTACCACATGCAGGAACTGGGGGTGCAGCAATTAACAACTTAGAAATGGTCACTTCCTCTGAGAAGCCGACAGTCCCGCAGGGATGATGCACATTGTCTGAGTGCTATGAGTGCTGTGAGGAATTGGTATGGAAGGAAATACTGGGAAACCCACCCAAAGCCAGGGGCTTTTATGAACAGAGAGAGGCAATGACCTCAAGGGCAAGATGGCTGCATTTTTTACCCTAGTGTATCTACAGAATGTGACACGCTGTCATCAATCAACTGGGACACACAGCATCCTCCTCAGAGGGATGCTCCCCACGCCTTCCCTTCTTTTCTTCAGGGGTCACTCCAGTGCAGGGAGTGGGTTATATCAGGAATCGAGAGGAAGGGTCAGTGGGAACCTAGTAGCCTATACCCTGACTTGACTACTTCACACTTCCTGTTATTTTTCGCTATTAACATGGTTGTTCCCTGCTCTAGCATTCACAAAACTCACAATTTTAAAAGAAATATATTGTGAAATAGCTCTTCTTAATCAAACCTCACCATCTACAATGTTCAATTTAACTTATATTTGAAGATCGGGGTGCATGTGCAGGTTTGTTATGTAGGTAAACTTGCTTCACGGGGGTTTGTTGTACAGATTATTTTATCACCCATGTATTAAGCTTAGTACCCATTAATTGTTTTTCCTGATCCTCTCCCTCCTCTCACCCTCCATCTTCTGACAGACCCCAATATGTGTCGTTCCCTTCCATGTGTCCATGTGTTATTATTTAGCTCCCTGTTATAAGTGACAACATGAGGTATTTGATTTTCTGTTTCTGCATTAGTTTGCTAAGGATAATGGCTTCGGCTCCATCCATGTCCTGAAAAGGACATGATTTCGTTCTTTATTATAGTTGCAGAGTATTCCATGGTGTACATGTACCACATTTTATTCACCCAGTCTATCATTGATGGGCATTTAGGTTTGTTCCATGTCTTTGCTATTGACCATACACAAATTATTGAATTCCTGCTAGATGCAAGGCTGTCTTGAAACGTAAGAAACCTAAGAATGGAGCCTCCATCTGCTTCCTGTCTTGTGCACATCTCCCTCCAGTCATCTCAAAACACATTGTTCAGAAACAAACGGGGGCACCAGCTACATAACCAAGTACACACTTACCGTTGTCCTCAGCAACACAGTGTCTGCTTCTTGCAAGGAACATGGGACACAATGTGCCCATACATGCCACGCTGGTCTCCAGTAAAACACCAAGGGGAGGATTCCAAATGAGAAGATGGATCCGGCAAGGCAGAGACTTTTCCGGCAGCCTTGAGTCCGATAGCCAAATATCTCCTGGGACAGAATCAAAAAGATCCCCATTGGTTAAGCACAATAAGCAATAAATGAACAAATACTGATTTTAGTGATGGAAATGGAGGCGGAAGTGAAGGAGTTGAGGAGGGTGAGGAGAGGGCAGGGTGAGGGATGGACAGAGTGGAGAGGGAATCTCGACAAAGAAGTATGAGACATGATTCCAGGAAGCAAGGAAGTCCCAGTCTAACTAGAACACCAGTTTCAATCCTTTGAGCACCTTGCTACCCTGTGTCAAGCACCGTGCCAGGTGTTTAGATGTGTCGTCTTATTTAAGTCTCCCAAGCATCCCTGTGTTTTCCACGAAGTGAGATAATTATCCTCATTTCATACATGGTGAGACTCGGCTTAGAGTGGAGGAATGGGATGACCTGCCCAAGGCCACACAGCTAGAACGTTCCACTGCTAAGATTCCAACCCAGGTCTGTCAGCCGGCTAGCCGACGGCAGTACCAAGAGATTCCCTTGGCTGGCATCAGCAGACACAGGAGAGGGAGAGAAAAGAACCAGGCCTTGAGATCTGAGTCAGGATTGGGTGAAAGTATTTGACCATAAGAGGATTAACAAGCAAAGGCTAAGTTACCCTTGGGAGTTTGGGGTAGAGTTGTGCCTTCCCACGTTCCTTCCTCATTCAGTAACAAACAATTTTATGTCAAGGGGAAAAACACCAGAGGGACTATTTGGTTTACTTCAACTCATTCTACTGAGCACTGATGCATCATGAGAGGATATTATTAGACCCCAGAGGATATATACGAGATAAGAGTCTCACCTCTAATAAATGTATACTCTAGACAGATGTCTTCCTTCCAAGGAAATTCTGAGATAGAATAGAAAATGGCTCCTGAAGTTTATGGTCTTAGTCCCACAGCTTTATCCCACAAAGTCATGGGTGTACTTTATACTGGTTATGATGGCTAAAATTGAGAGGTAGTAGAGTGTCCTGGTTAAAAGCACATTCTCTGGACCAAGACTCTTTGGGTTCAGAGACTAGCTCTGCCACTTACTGGGCGTGTGATTTTTCAGTACATTGTCTAACCTCTTTATCCCTGTTTGTCTTCCATAAAATGGGATAGTAATACTACCCACGTGACAGGGTTGTTGTCCTATGTAAGCGTTTACTACGGCTGTTGCTGCTATTGCTTGATCACGTGTCCCTGAAATAGACCTGAAATTCTATCCCTCAGTTTATTGGCAGTTAGGTACAAGAATTCCTAGTGTCAATAGTTATGCTCTTGCTAGAATTGTCTCTTAGGATAACAAGGGAGCTGGAACATAAAACTTTAAGTCTATCAACTTCTCTATCTCATCTGATAAAGATTACATTGCCAGGAAAGGTTCTGTGATGCTTGGCTGAAGGTTGCTTTTGTGTGTAAACATTAGGTTCCTTTCTATTATTAGCTACACATACAGGTACTGAATGGCTTTCTTAGGCATTGTCCAAATTTGGCATAACCGATAAAATGTTCTCATTAACTCAGAAATGATCTCTTAACTAATTTTGCAAAGTAGAATGTAGATTCCGACATGAATACTCTTCTGCTCCAAGCTCAAGCTATTGCTGTCCAGATGCCAAGCCTGGAATGGCTCTGTCCCCTCATCACACTGGCAGCAATGTTCTCTTAGTCCCACGCAGAGCAGTGTCCCAGTCTTAATTTCCTTACTTGCCCTGGGTCCAGCTACTGTTCTTTCCCGTATGCTTTTTCTGTTTCAACACTTTGGCATAGATCAACTTCTACCTTCCGACCCAGCCATTTTTTCATCTTTTTAAAATATTATATTTAAAAGTTTCCTTATATTGCCAGTCAGTTGAGCCCCCATGTAATATGCCTGAGTTACTCTGTTCTACAGCAAAAACCTCTGTTACCATGCTTTCTTTTATGGGCTATGCAGTGAGGGCTGTCTGTAGTTTCCAGAGTGTCTTTGTGATTACTGTCAAGATAACGTAAACAGAAATTATCATCTTAATTCTCCATTAAGAAAACCAAAGTTCAAAGTTACTATAATATCCTTAATAGCAATAATAGTGATTATTAACAACTAATTATTGATAACAGTGCTAGCAGCTAACATTTATTGGGCACTTAATAGCCTTTCACTAAGCATATGATACATACTCTCCCATTTAGTTGAAAAATATTAAATTAGTTTCCCAAGCCACAAAGCTCATAACTAACTCAAAACTGGGCCTCCAGTCTAGACCTCTGCAGCACGTGGAAGATGATGTGGGCTGGCCGTTTCTACTCCTATGCTCTTCTTTATTCTTTTATTTCAGTTCAATTTAACAAATGTTTGTTACATGTCCACCAAACGGCAGGCATGTGCCACTGAATTGTACTAAGTTGAAGTGAATTGCATTGAAGGGACTATTAATAGATATTGGGTTTAAAATTGCAAAAATCAGCACAGTGCTGTTATTATCATCCCGTAGCAATTCCTTTCCTACATTTATGGAGTACCTTCTATGTCCCTGGGTATGCTGGAGGGAAGTGTCCTTGCTACCCTGCACTCCATCCACTCTTACCTCCCACAGAAAGGGATCAGTTAGAAAAAAAAAAAAAGACTATTGGGAAAATGTCAAAAGAATATTACACAAATAGTCAAGTTCATGGCAGGCTACGTGCATTATGGATCAGCACACTGTCCCTTTCTTTATCCCTTCCTTACCCACACATTCTTCTTCCTCTGCCCATGGGCATCCAGGTCCTTTGCATCTCTCAGGGCTTAAACTTTGGTCCAGGTGTCCAGGCCTTGTCTCCTGCAGAGCTTCTATGCTCAAGGAGCCAAATTCTGCTCCTCAGAGCAATGTTTTAAACCATCTCAACTAATAGAACCTTCTCAGTATCTGTAGACCCTCTCCTCAAAGAAATACACACTTACACACAAACATCTTCACGGATATTTAGGGAGGATCCCACGGCCTAGAAAAGGTCCTGCTCTAGAGGTTTCATGAGATTGAATCAAGGCTTGTCTTTCAGAGTTTACCCTCAGTACTTGAACTTAGGGCCTGACACCAAGTCAGCACTTAACGAATGTAGAAGTATGAAGACACAAGTGGGTGGAAATGCAGGTGAGGTGTCCGCTGGAACAGAACACTCCTGTCCCCAAAGAAGCGCCAGAGGGCAATGTCACCACCTACGGTCCTATTAGTCCTGAGAGTGGTTCTCAGCCTTCCAGTCCCAGAAACTACCAGCAGAACCGTCTCTCACAGGGAATATTCCATTTAAGCAGATCTCAGAGACTGGGATTAACGAGAGAGAGAGATGTATGCTGCTGTCATACTAACCAGACAAATACATGGGTTGGTATGAAGAGTGCATTCTCTCCCCAGTGACACCATCTCCACCGTCATGACTGACCTGCTAACAGAGCCATGTGCAAGCACAGTACTTAAAACAGGCTCTGGAGTCTTCTTTGACCATCTCTCACCCTGACTGGCACATGTCTTTTTTAAACACATTAATTCTTTTAATCGAAGTACAGTCCAATCTTTCTGGCCTAGAAGTCAGTTTGTCTCTTTAAGAGAATGTTGCATTTCTCTACAGGCTTGGTTAAATATTTGAAAAGTTTTAAAGTTTCCATTTTTAAAAGTTTACTTCCCTGAAGATAATCTCTTTTCCCTTATTTCTGAATTTGGGGTGTTAAGAGAATCCTTCACTGTTATTTCCAGGCCCTACACCCAATTGTTTTAAAGGAACGCATTTAAATGGATTTACCTCGCTGCTTGCCCAACCCCAACATCTTTTAAAATTCCTGCCTCTGTACAGTTTCTTCTGTGCCACTCTTTAATACTAAAGGAAGTTTTTCTAAGTTTCTTCGAAGTTAATTTGACTACTAGATTCAGGTGAAAAATTCTCAACGTGAATGACCTAATCTAGAAATCTTAAACTGGAGGCTCAAAAGGAGTGACCTGCAGACTTGTTTCTTGTTTACTTGTTAAGAATTTCTAAAAATTTTAAATTGGTCTCCCAGTTATTTTTACATAAAAATTATGATTTCTACTTTTTTCTTAAAATAAATTAAAATGGTGACAATATTGTTCCCACATTCTTGCACTGCAATAATCAGTTGGAAAGCAAAAAAAAGAAAAAAGAAAAAAAAACACATGTATAATATAACCCAGGAAATAACCGAGATGCCATCCAGTGAGTGAGACGTACTGTGGTGTGTCCACACAATGAGATTTAATACAGCACTTCAAACAGTTGAGCTCCAGCAACACACATCAATATGGATGACTCTTAGTAATGGAATAGGAAGTGAAGAAAGTCAGTGCAAAGAATTGTAATAGCATTATAACCTTTTTATAAAGTTGAAAACAACTCGCATTTCAATTATTTGGGGGATATATCTAGTTAAAAGAAAACCACATAGGAAGGGAAGCAAGGGAATGATGAACACATGATTTAGTACAGTGGCTGCCTCTGCTGGGGAAAGGCAGAGGAATGAGAGGCCACACTGTTACATGCAGACGATTGTCCAAACCTAGCTTTTGTTTGTGGTGATGGGTTCAGCACATTATTGTAAAGAACTCATTAAGTAGCTAACCAAATTAATGCAGCACAACACGGGCAAATAACATGAGTACATCATGAACCAAAGATTATGGACAATCTAACTGTGAGCACCTCAAGTCTTAGGGGAAAAAAAAGAAAAAAGAACCGGCTAGAGCAAGTACCAGATGCCCCCTCTAAATGAGCAGGTGCCCTCTTATTGTCTGTGGTTCCTGCCTTGCTTTCTTTTATCCCCAACACTGAGGCTATATGTTAGGTTCCATCACACATCTCATGCCAGACCTGCTCATTGGAGCTGCAGCCTCACCCTGTAAGCTAGTGGTTCTCAACCAAGGGAGAGTTTGTCTCCCAGGGAACGTTTGGCAATGTCTGGAGATATTTTTTGGTCACTCAATTCTCAATTGGGTGAGTTACTTCTGGCATCTGGTGGGCAGAGGCAGGAATGCTGCTACGCACCCTACAATGCAGA